ATATATATATATATATATATATATATGTATATATATTATTATATTATTATATTATTATATATATATAAATACACACACACACACACACACACACACACACACACACATATATATATATATATATATATATGCAAAGCTTATAGAATACCTCACGACGTGTTGCAGCGTGTGTATCATGGAAGCGATCTTAACCTGCATATAACATCGACTAAATGCTGCTATATCGATAACATCCTAGGTCTACTCAAGGCTATCTCAGTTAGACGTTTCGGTTGTGAAGTACAAGTGTTCCTTTCTTTCCTTTTCCTGAATGCTCCTGAAATGGGAATAGACTTAGGGTTTTTATACAGATTCTCGCTGAGTAACTGTGAGCGAGTCATCTGACTAGTACACACAGCTACTTTATACCATAGTTTGCGCTAATGCATAGTCATTCTCTCCGCATACTACAATTTCTGCTTCAGACGTTATCAAGGTAAACTCATCCCTATACATATACATATATAAACATTTAATATATATATATTAATAACTCTTCAGCTGGACAAGAACGATTCCGTGCAGTCACACGGTCGTACTATCGAGGTGCAGCTGGTGTGTTGATGGTGTTTGACATCACGAGACGGAGTACATTCAACCATCTGTCGTCGTGGCTCACAGACGCAAGAAACCTCACCAACCCTAACACCGTGATCTTCCTAATTGGAAACAAGGCTGATCTGGATGCCGAGAGAGATGTTACTTTCGAGGTACGTAAAGACTTGTGCTTTGTCTTGTTGTCTCGCATCGTTCTGCAGTATAAGCTTGTATCTTATTACTGTATGGTTTATATTATGAAGGCGGCATGGCATTGGAGCGTACTGGCGTGTGCCGATGTGTCGTGGCCAGATGTGTTGTTTCTGATAAGTTGTGCTGTGTGGTTGTGTCGTGGCCAGTTGTGCTGTTTTGTACTCTGTTGTGCTGGGTGGTTGTGTCGTGGCCAGATGTGTTGTTTTGTTATGTGTTGTGCT